TGCAGGTTGTAGGTTGTGGGCCTCACAACGTTTTGTTGTAGAACTGCGGCACATCAGGCGCAAGGATGGCAATGTGGTACGCAAAAATTCATGGATGAGACGCAGCATGCGGCGGCCCCGGGAATCGGCATGGTTGAGCTGGTCCCACGCACTGAGAAGCGTGTCATAGGTGGCATTTACAGCTTACAATTGCAGCTTACAATTTTGCTTGGTAACCGGTTGCTGTCGTTAAAGCCCGAACAAAGCACTCAGAACGGAGATTTGTCGGTTTGAACGCCTGAAGCTGCCTAAATCATGAATTATCCATGAAGCCAGATCATGCAGGCTTATCTCAATCGGAGAGGGTGCACATTTGTCAACACTCATCGAAGCCTACTAGGTGCAGAAATGTTTATGTGTTGGTACAGGAAACTATCAATGTCATCAAAATGTCAGTATGTGGCAACGAAAATGATTTTGGACGTCTTATAACATGAGTTTTCTGCAGGCAAGAAAACTAATTTCGCCTCCATTTGCCGGAAACACAACATCCGTATTTCACGTAACAGAACGGCGGACAAGGAAACACAGTTCCACAAAATCGGACTGATTCACGCTTCTTTCCAAATAACGAACAAAAGATTCTTTGAATTCAGCCCAGCGGAGGCAGGTGCACGCCACCGGCACACAAGACACGCCAAGCGATGCTGCGTGTACGCCCTGCATCAGTCAATTTCCGCCACGCCGCTCGTCCTCGGCCGGCATAGGACGGCGTCCGCAGCCCACTCCCTGGGGGCGGCGAGTCCCGCCGCCGCACGCAACAGGGGCCGGCGCTTCATGTTTACAAGGCGGCCGATTCATGGAACGGCCCGGGACGAACACAAAGTGTCCTGGGGGAGGGGGGGGGGGGCGGCGCGACAGCTGAGCCGGTCTCGCTGTCCCTTCCGCCCCGCGACCCGACGGCTACCGGCGATGACTGTGACTCACCGGACCAATTACCAGGGCATCGACCGGTGCACGCGGCGGCGCGGCACCCTCCCCTCGACTCCGCCGCCCCTCCCCGAGCGGCCGCCCCTCCCCCCCCCAGGCAGGGGCCGCAGCAGTAGCGTTTTAGAGCCTTTTAAGGCCCGTTGGCCCGCGGCGCGCCAGGGGCGAGCACCACTCTCCAGCCTCAGTCGCCGTACAAATAGATGGGGTGCGGTTACGAGTGGACGCCCACTGGGCGCCGCGCATGTCGTGGTTATCGCGCGGCTGAAAACCGACGTCGCGGGGATGGAGTGCTTAGCGCGGGGCGAAAAGGCGTAGAAGTCAATGAAACGCGTTAAGAGGCATTCTGTGTTCCATCGATAACACGGTTAAGCGGTCATTTTTTAACCATAAAATATAGCCTATCACGAATCAATTTCGGAAACTGCAACAGCCTTATGATCATAATTCAGAGAAAATCAGTTCCCTGCGAGCTATTGTTTCTGCAGCCGTGCTGCGAGCTGTGCGTGTCAGGTTTTAGTGAAAAAACAGCTGGGCGGAAACTCGCTCCATGCGCGAGCGAACTTAGTCCGGGCTCTCCTCCCGTGTGCGGTGCTCCGGTCGCGCCGTTCAACCCTCGACCCAACGCTCCATTGCCGATAGGCGGATCAGAGTGTCAGCTGACGGCCATGAAGGGAAAGGGGGGGGGGCTTATCACTGAAGCTGCAGCCCAGTCACCCAGCCCCTCCCCTGTCCCGGCGCAGCCAAACGGTCCGATGGCAGGGCAGGGGAGGGGAGGGCGCTGGTGGCTCCGCTCTCGCCGCTGTCGTCACATCCGGCAGATAAACTCGACGTGGCGTGTCCCCCCTCCGGATTTAGCAGCGAGATGGCCGACTGCCGACGAGTCGAGTCGTCGAGGCGCGTGTCCCCCCCCCCCTCCCCGCAGCCCCGCTGGAGGCGGGATGGCAGACTGTTGAAGCCGCGACGATACGACCCACTGGGCGCCGAGCGTATGGCGGTGGCGCCACGTCCACCGTGCTCTTCAGCAATCACCGGGGGCCGCCGATGCGGGGCAAGTCTAGCAAAATGCATCAAGATGGATGACAAGCAACAAGACAGCTATGCAAGTATGTTGGGAGTGACTGTTATCTGTGACTCACCATCTGCCTGAGCCTGAGCTTCACCCGCCGCTCAAGAATGGCTCAAGCGCCATCGAACGGTGCACAAGGAGACAACATGTAAAATATTCCGCACGATTGCATTCAAAACGGACGAAAGGACAAGTAATAGGAGACTTTCGACTAGCGCGCAAACTAGGGGAATTGTATCTACATATAATAATGATACTTAATAGTCATATATGTCTGCATGTACATGATAATGCATCTTTAAGTGCATAGAACGCAGCGCGCTGGTCGCCTCGGCTATGCTTGGTGCGGGAGTCAGCTGTAGGCGAGCCGCGCTCTTGGGTGCTGTCCAGCGCCGCTGTGTTGTCAACATCACTTTCTCTAACTTCCGAACGCATTGCTCGCTTCCAGCCGGCAGATCTTTCACGCGGCAGTTCTGACAGCAACCAATAGGTGCGCTCAAAAGGTGGATGTGCGGTCCAATCGGGCGATATCGTTGGCATGCGCACAATTTATCCTTCAGGTCCCTAGTTATATGAAAGGTGCCAAGGAAAAGACCGGCTGCCCGGGCTACCTGATGAATGGTGTGCACAGATCTGGTGGCGCACCAGAGGCCGTTTTACTTCACACATCTTTGCTGGAAACACAGCCGACGTTTGTTCACTCTTTTACACACACATTATGCAAGTGGTTTGTATGTTCGTTAGAAGTATGGAGAACGAAACCTAATAGAACGTATATGTGCGGACCTTCAAAATCCCAGGCACGCAAAATGTTTGCCTTGCGCGGCGCTGGCGTGGGGCAACAGCCAATGATTGGAGGTTTGGTGCAATGGGCTTCAGCCACCCATATGTTAAAAGACAATGTCGATCAAATGGAGTTCAGAATTACTATCAATGCTCATTAACAAGTCCTGCTGTAATCTGGAAAGGCGATTGAACGTAGTCTAATAAGGTCAGGTGTTATCGTTTGGCTCATGAAAACACAGTAATTCTGTTTAGCTGGCAGCTTTGACCAAATTAGGAGTTTTCTATACCTTTGAGGAGTTTGAGTTAGCCCAAGGGGACTAAAATGTGATCAAGGACCTACTGCGGTTGTGTACGGAGATATGACAGAAAACCTTAATTTTGATATACGTTTATGTAAAAACCCTGAAACTGAATATTAAAACCATAGAACTTCCAATGATTGCGAGAAGGTCTACGTCTGGACATGGCTAGAGAATGCCGACAAAACACGGCGCATGGAAGCGGCAAAAGCAGGCGTGTTTCAATAGGAGAGCGATAATAAACGCCTATTTTAATGGCAGTCGGTGAGATCCTTACCACACCTACCAATAAGCCAACCATGCCACATTATTGACTCGTGCCTCTGGTCCTACAATAACGTGGCGCGTTACGGCGCCTCTGTGGGCCATATAAGTAACACTAGAAGTGACACCAGTACCATTTGCAATTGTCCGCATCTCCAAGTTCGATGCTGGTCTCTGAATGACATTGCAAAGACATGTGATAGTCTCGCCAATGTTCGCTCGGCCATTTGCCATTGGAGAGCGGCATGTTGCCACACATCTCGACGCAAAAGCAAGCATGGTCGGCGGCAGCGCCCATTCTCGTGCGGGGACAGCAGTCCCCACCCGGTCGGCTGAGGCTGCACCGGCGCGCCCAGCCGCCATGGCAGCCAGCGCAAGAGAGCGAGCAACATGACTGTGGACCGGGTTACCGTGGCATCAGACACTGCCTTCAATGGCACCTGATCCGCATCCAGCCCATGAGCTCGTTCAGTCTCCTTTTGTGAACGTGGGATTTATCTCAACCGCCGGGTGAGAAAGATTGCCCATGACAAAATGGATGCAGTATGTTAGTATGTAAGTACAGTATGTTAGATCTGTGTACGATGTTTCAAGGCCGAGAGGTCTTGAAACACCGTACCCGAAGACCTGAGATTCTCTGGTAAGAATGGGAGCATCGGCGGCTCGGATCGTCATTTTAGGTCACCTCTCTTTGTAGTGTTTATAGCTTTACCGCGAACGCCCGTGGCTATCGCGATGACGCTTGCTATGAAACGCCGTGAAATGCGTTATTGTGTGGAACACGATGGACCAATAACATTTTCCAGACAAGCGTGTGCAATTTTTCCGTGCCCACCTCCATCCGTCTCCGGCGTGAAAGCCGTTGGTGCATTGCTGGCTAAACCCTTTGTAATGACCAAGACGGCCTTAAACTTCATGAGCCATGAACCAGCCGTGAGGCAATAGCCTTTCTCATAGAACGAAATGGCGTGTGACTATGAGGGAAAACGGTTTATGGGGCGACTGTAGAGTGATATGGAAGCTATCACAGAACAAATGACCGAACTTTTCAGCTAGACGGAGTACTGGAACTGATTCACAAGAATTGTTGCTCTCTGCGGGAAATATCACAAAAGTGTCTCAACAATTCGCAGCAACCAAGGCTGTCTTTAAGTTCCCAACGTCCAGACTTACGATTCACGATGGATATCTTCGTACAATTATATCGCTCATCGAAATTTTGCACTTATTCATAAGTTCGTGGACATCTCGGTGGCTAATGTCTGAACCAGCACGAGATGGAGATGTCGTCTTAGCTACAACTCAACGGTCTGCACGGCGCTGAAAGTGACGCACCACACGTATGTGCTGCTGGTAGTCAGTCTGGTAACACCTCCATGTCACAGCGTCGTTAGGTCAACGCTTTTTGCAACAGAAAAGTCTTAACTCAACCTCATTCACCCACACAGTTTTCTTAAGCGCAACTGTAACCAAACTTTCCCCCGTCGTGCCATCCCTATGCTCCAGGCGACACCAAGCTGCGGCGGGCGGCGGCCGCCCGACGCCGTAACAGCCGGCGAGCGGCACCGGCGGCGGCCGTCGCCGGGCGTCACGGTCCGGCGTCAGCGGCTACTCACGCTCCTGGCTGGGCTCGGCGTCGCAGCCGGATGGGCCGAGCAGCACCGCGGCGAGCAGGGCGGTCCAGGCGACATGCCAGCCGAGCGGCCGACGCTCCATGTCCGCCGGCGCCTCACCGCCACACCGGCTGTCGGCGCCCACCGCCGTCGCGCGCCCCCGCCGCCATCGACTGACGCCGCCGCCGCCGATATCGGCTTATCGACCGGTCGCGCGGCCCGCCGCCGGCCGCGCGCAGCGCCGCCGCGGCCGAGACGCGAAGCTCACGCGCGACGGTGGCGCTGCCCCGCGGGAAGGCGTGTGGTGGCGTGTGGGTGCTGTCGGCGCGCAGCGGCCGGCGCGTTCGACGTAAGGAAGGCAGATGTGGTCTGAGCCGCACAGACCACTCGTGCAGCGTCTTTTTAAAGTATGCATGCAGCCAAGCTGTAGGTGGAACCACGGATATCCGGTGCAGGCAGGCCACGCTGAATACACCGATATCACACGGCCGAGGTCAGCGACCCGGCCCTTAAAAGATCAGAACGGGGGCTCATTTACATGACAATCCCCGGGGTACGTGCCCTCTTATCAAATTTATTGCATTCATCCCCAGCGGGAGCTGATCCCCTGTGGGTTGGTGGAAAAAAAATCCATGCACGTGGTTTGAAGCATTCGACAATGGGGTTCCCCGCCCACCGGCAGCCCAGCTGGGGAACGGCCCAACTACCCCCGGGAGATGTCGCCGCGAGGGATGCCACGGTGCCAAGGGTCGCCAAGGGTCGCCACGGTGCCATACGGGACGAACAAAGTCTCCCACACTGCCAGGCGTCACCGGGGAGCATGTATGCAGCCGGGTTGTAAGTGGAGCCACGGACATCCGGCGCAGGCAGGCTAGGCTGAATACAACGACATCGCACAGCCGGGTCAGGTGCAGGTGTCGCCCTTCCCGTCTTGACCGTGGTTCAGCGCCGTCACCCCTTGACTCCTTGAGCCACCGCGCGCAGGCCGCTGGCTACGTGGGCCTGGTGTCGGTATTCCCGCGCCGGTCTTTTGAAGCAGTGCGAAGTGCCCAATACTGCCGAGTTAGTCAACCGAGCTCGGACTTGCTCAATGTATAGCTGTTGCTGTTCCTGTGCGTGTTCGCGTGCGTGTCTGTGCCGTTGCATGTTTTGTTTAACATGGTGTGCCTAAATGAAAATCGATCATGGGAATATTGCGATATATACGTCATCATTGGTAGACGGCATACCTCCAAGCTTCTTGATCAGTGGCCCTGCTCCAGTCAATGGGCTAATGTTCCGGCAGTATGGATAAATGTATACGGTCGATGAGACGGCGAGATGCTGGCGAGAGAGGCGGCCCGAGCACAACTCCGGAGGTCGACCCAAACGCCTTGTACAGCATCTTCGCGCAGATGGGAAGTCAAACAGCGGCTGCTGTGGTGACTGCCAGAGCTGAAACAACTACACCATCACTTCTACCCCGAGTATGTTCTGAAAATTCTTAGTTTAACCAGTGTCGTTTGAAAACTTGCATTCTGCTGGTCTTAATATGAGTACCTCAGATTCCTGCGGCGATGGCGTCCCTCTGTACGTCATAAAACGTTGTTTTACGTACTCTGTTACATAACTCTCACCATCGTGAACATAAATCTGAAAGCCGGTTGAGATCCTGACGCTTGGAAACTATATTCAATTAAGCGCATTTACAAGTCGACAGGACCTCTATCTGAGCCTTCCAACTTTAGACCGATCTCGATTGCTAAAATAGTTGAAGGAGATGTTCAAGAACAACTGTATAGCTTTCTCAATACACCTCTTTACCCAGTCAGAACACGGATTTTGTAACCACCACCCAACCGAAACAGTATTGACGACCGTAAGTGAAACTGTACTACGTGCTATGCATAGAGGCAGAATATGAGTGCTTGTGCCACTGGATTTGTCCAAATGTTTTATGAGGCGAATTACGGTGGGCCTCTTGGAAAGCTATTTCTTCATGGTGTTGACCCTCGCTGGTTAAGGATTACCTTCGCAGCCACAGGCAAAAAAATGATATTCGCCTGTTAACGGCCCAGACTTTTAAAATGACGACCACTTGAAAATCCTATAGGGGTGTACCGGGGCAGCGCCCTTGGCTTCTTAAGGAGCCGAGTGCGACGCTAACAGTAGTTATACTTTTTCAGATTACATCAGCCTCCATGTGGAGGATGGCGTCCATGAATCCAACGCGTGGACAATATGCAACTCATCATTAACTGGTAGAGAGATAGAGCTGACTGAACTTACAGCGAAAATGGAACGACCAGTCTACACACTGTACCAATGGCTTGAGCAACATGCTATCAAAACTGAATGTTAGCACAACCCATCTTATCGCCATCGGCACTCAGCAAATGATGCGGTACGTGCCGCTAGACTCAGTCCACGTCGGAGACAGCGTGATTGTGTAGAGCAGCACACTTAACACGCGCCCGGGTGGCCGGTTGGATACCCTTTGCTCTGGTTGGGGGTCAGTGTGACCTCCTGAGATCTCAGGGACTAAGAGATCTAGATACATTAAATTCACAGGACGTGTTAGCCTATACGTGAACTCACTTAGGTCAAAGTTTGATGTTATCTGGTCATGACCTTCGGGTAAAATAAAGGCAAACAAGGTTAAATTCCAGATAGACCTCCAAAGTTGTCCCAGAGCCTAGATACCTGCTTTAAGCAAAAAGTATCATGCTCATTTAAGATCAGTGACCCTGTTTGAACTTTTGAAGGTCATGGTGACCAAAATGATACGAGACCACTTCGGGTTTTGTACGTGAATAAGAGACAAAGATTATGCTGGGCAGAATGCTCCCAAAAGCATAATATTGACCTGGCTCATTTTGGGTCAGTGACCTATTGCGACCTCTAGTAAGTCCATGGAAAATATATAATGCGGCTCCTGCCCTCAATCAATTCGAAATGAGTACTACAAACTACATCATACAGCAAGCCCTAGAGTAATGTTTGTTTGACCTTGACCTGGCATTCAAACCTGACCCTAGGTCAATGAAATTTGTTCATTCAGTTGTTGTGTCGCCTAATAAAGCACCTCAAAGATGCATGTTTTTTTGGACACTCTGTTGTTGCACCAGATAGAATGATTTGCTAGAAATTGCCTTCGTTGAATCCTTGGCCTGATTTGATCTGCCGTAGGTCAGCGACCTTACAAGGAGCATCTAAATTTGTTGTACCAAGCGATCCGCTACTCAATCGCCCATAGGTAGTGAACTTACCTATGGGCAGCCGTGCTCAGTTATTATATATATATATATATATATATATATATATATATATATATATATATATATATATATATATATATATTAAATAGTTCAGCCGTTTCGTTCAGAAGCCATTCCGGCAAAATCTTCCGGGGTCAATTTAACCCACCCCCCACCCCCACCCGAGCGCGTGTTAACTTTGTGTTGACGTTCGAACCGATCGCTCACTTTCTCAGACGCACATTGCCAGCATGAAGTAGGCTGCAACGGGTTGATTGTGGCCCTGTCTCATATAAGGCGTAGTTTTCCCGGTGAAAATATAGACACCATAGCAAAGAGTTTTGGTCATCTCCAGAGCGCGCCACTGCAGATCTGTGTAGGCAGCGCAAACCAGTCCAGCTGGAAACAGGTGCAGTCAGTTCTAAATGTTTACGCGAGAGGCATGTCGGGTCGCCGGGAGTTCGACCATACTTCCCACCCGAAAAATGAAATCCCAGCCCTGAAGGTGAATGGCTGGTGTGTTGCCACAACGTAAACCGTCTTCATAAGATCATCACAACGGGACACTGGCAGTGGCAAAGATACTTATAATATACAAATATACATCATCAGCACTGGCAAATATACTCAGCACAAACATCGACACGACAGAAAGACGCACCCGCCAGCCACACGACATTGGGCTGCCCGCAGCGCGTCAGAACAGTGACAAACGGCAGTTTATTTATCGGGCTCCGGTCGACTACAACCTCCTGCCACACCATGTGAGGGCTCTTAACCACTCATGTTTTGCCAACTCAGTTAAGCGAGAGTACCTACATGCCATCGGAAAGTGAGCAAGTGTTTTTTTATGAATATAAGATGTGTATGCCTTTTGTTGAATGAATGAGTGCTTCCGTACCCAAGAACGTTTTAAGACATGATACAGCACAGTCATAGCCAAGCGTGTAGTTGATCGACTTATGGAATGCATGATACGTTGGAATGTGCTGCAACGTGAATGCATGCATACATACAATCATAATGCGTCGGTTTGCCGACCGGGCAGCGCGCGGCAGGTTATGTAAAGTAGGGCTCAAGTAACGTTCAAAATGGCACCGATGTGATGGCTGTCCAGCCCGATGGGATGCCGTTTGACTGACATTTTAGCGCCTTTGATTCAAACGCTAGACATGCCTGTTTAGTCATGACTAAACATAACCGATGACTCGCAAAGAAGTGATATGCATTTCTCAAATGGTATGCGAATGGCCGAATCACATGGGCAAGACATCCTCTATGTATCCGGCACCCCACACCACTTTCGGGAATAGGTAGTGAACTTTCTGCTCCAGACCTCGGTACATTTTAATATCCGCTCTTAGGTCAATTCCACGCAATAACAGTTAGATGCTCAGTTAAGTCAGTTAAGTTATTGTCAGTTAAGATGCTCACTTATGTGCATTTTCTAATGATTTAGGCCACTCTCCTTGATTGCTGAACTCATATATAAGAATAATTTCAGGCGATTGCCCTCTGTATATTTAATGACAGATGACGTCAAATAAGCTACCTGGGGGATGTGGTTGGTCTAAACATGTCGGCCTAAAACGAGAATGAAACTGAAGTATTTCGACAGTGCATCGTTTTAATGGTCTTCTTGTGGTCTCCATACTTCCTTCGTCTAACATGTCACCTCTTGACCTTCCAAGAGCATGAGGTCAACATAGCTCACTGATCCAACTTGGTCTCAAGCTCTGGCTCCCAGTAATATCCTTTCTAGCAGCGTATTTTGTCGATTTTACCGCTTTCTTTTCAATAACATCGTGTCTTCCCTTGTGAGTGACTTTCACCCCAAATATCTTTATTGTTACTAGCCTTACTCAGTCTAGAGGTCTGCA